TCGGGTTCGATCCAAGTTAGAAGGGATTATTGAATTGAGGAAAATTGAGGCACTAAAGTGGATTAATTTGCAATAAGCTAATACATTATAATGCAAACAAAAAATCAACACCTAAATGGAAGGAATCAGGTTTGAGCTAAGGGGAGAAAAATGCCCAATAATTTGGATAGAGCCCTTCACCAGCATTAGTAATGCTGGTGGGCAGATGTTAATCCGAAGAACTGAAGCTAACCTACCTTTCCTGGAATCAAACTTTACCCTCTCATTCCTCGGATTTTATGCCATTCTCATTGTAATTATCCGTATTGCATCTACGCCTACTCAAAGCTTTTAATAGTTTCAAACTCCTTTACCCCTCAAGGGAGGTTTCTTGATGCTGATGAGGGGCTCTTGATATACGGAATTGGATCTGTTAGTTCCCTGAATACCTTCCATCCCCCCCCCCCCAGGCTCTGTACACTTCATTATAATAAGACTTAGTGCTTTGCAAGCTATTAAAAAATTTGAGTCTCCTCGTGCTCTACTTCTTCGTATACAACTATTGCTGCTAGTAATGCGGCATAACTAGTTTTCTGTTGGGTCAGTGGTCATGATAATTAGAGCAATGAGCAGGCAGACTGCTGCATGATCTACAGCCACCAATTTCATAGGTATTCCATTCTGACTTGATGTAATCTACCCACTTTTGCAACTGTTGGTCTGATTTGACAAATTATCAAACCAAGTTTGGGCTTCTGGACTTGTCATTGATACATTATTATTATTATTATTATTATAATCAAGGGGGAAGCACTAAACCCGGAGGATTATACAGCGCCTGGGGGGGGGATGTGGAAGGCATTCAGGCTTAATTCGGGGAACTGGAGCACAGATCCAATTCCCTAAATCAAGAGCCCCTCACCAACATCAAGGAACCTTCCTTGAGGGGGTCATTGATACAGGTTGGGAGACACTGCTCTCGTCTTTGCATTGGACACTCCTAACTCATGGAGAGGAGCCCTGTTCCACTGAGAATTGTCTAGTTCTTGTTCGTTTCCCATGTTCTATTGGACTGGCCTGTATCAATGAACATGCAGAATTTTCCCTCTAACACCCTTACTTCACTTTCCTCCTTGCTGCCGGACCCACCTTTGACACTGACTTCCCCTTTCAACTTTTTGACAGCAACTGATTTATTACTTTATTCCTTCCTTTAGCACTCCTCACAGCCCCACCTAATTTGACCTTTATCTCCACCCTCATTTATCCTTAGATCCTGCATAAATTCCTACCCTGTAGCACTGGATGACCCTGGTAGGTCTAGCACTTCCTTTTGATAATGAAGCATTTTATAGCTTGGCGTTTAGACCTGTCACACTAATTACATTTAAGGAAAAAAAAAACAATGTGCTGTACATAATTTTGACACCAGTGTGCAGTTAAAGGTTACAACACTTCACAAGAGTAGACATTATTATAATCAAAAGAAAGAGTTAATCCTACAAAGGCCATGCAGTACAGTAGGGCAGGGGGTTGAAGATAGCAAGAGGGAGAGGTAGAAAGGGCTGCGAGAAGGGCTAGAGATCTCGGTTTTTGACGGCAACCAATTTACTGCAGTCAACAAGTGTCAACAGCATATGGAAGGAAGACAGTCATGCAATATGTCGCCTCAAATTCTAGTAAGGCTCTATGCAAAGAATTTAGCCTTTATTCCCAATAATGACTGAGTTTGCTCTCCAGTAAGGTAATAATTCACTAGTCAAACTGAACCCCCAGGGGTCCTACAAGGAAAGGCAATCATTCAGTCCAAGAAAAAGGAGGGGAGTAGCTAAACTTTGGACCAAGATTGTCATGAGTGCTCAACCCACTGGGGGATCATACTGCACCTGGGAAGATAAGGGGAGGCACTTAGGTTTGAATCAAGGGAAGGGAAATGAGCAATCCCTTAAATTAAAAACCCTTTAGTGGCATCAAGGAACTTGCCTCCCTTGAAGTGTTCACTCTGTAGACATAAGGCACTATACAAATAAAAATGGTGACAAAACCCTACCCTGCACTTTTTTTTTTTCATGTTAAGTGTACATTAATACAATCTTTTCAGCTTTGTTGGGAAGATGTAGTCATGAAGCACTAAAACCATTGGGGTCAAGCAGCACATTAGGAATTGGGGAAGGGGGGGGGGGGACAATCACATTCAATCAAAGGACGGGATCCTCTCTTGAGTCAAACCTGATTGTCTCGTATACTTAAGAGCTTCCCTGTGCAAGTTATGGGAAGTGCTAAACCTGTAGGGGGTCATGGCACCTGGCAAATGGAAGGCATACATATTCTATTCAAGGAGGATAAAGCTAGTTCCTTAAATACAGAAAACAGCCAGTTTGCTCCCACTATATACCTATTGTGGAACACTGTAGCAGTACACACAGGCATCAGATTTTGCTAAATTTTTTAGCAAAGGATGAGTGATCCACTTCCTTGGATGAAGATTCTCATTGGTATCTCCCCATTTTTTTTTTTTTTTAGATGACCCTTACTTTAAGAACCTTGGCTGTAGTGTAGGAAGGTTGTGCCTTAATCCAGCACTACATTTATAGGGAATGGGAAGCAATCATTTTCGATCTGAGCAAATGGAAGATAGGCCCAATTCTTTGGACTGAGTCCCCTCACCTTGAGGAAACAATCATGAATGAAGGAATGGAGGACCCCTTCCTACACCAGAAGGCATTGGTTATTGTCATGACAAACCTTGCCAGTCTGCCCCAGCATTCTCTGGTCAATGGTGCTGCATTCGAGTATTTGTCCAAGGTATCTTGATCTGAAAGTTAGAGGTACCCCTCTCCCTCTAATGAAACTTCAACTGCCTTTTCATATCTCAGGTTCAGTATATTCCCCCTTCCCTACATGTTTAAAGGTCCTATTATCAAAATAGGACCAAACCTGTATGGGGGTCATACAGCAGAGGCAGTTTAGCATTGTGATAATACAGGTATTCTTTGCCTCTTATTCCACAACCTACAGCATAGCTCACTACAGTTGATACTGATCTTGACTGAATCTGCTGAAATAAAGTAATAGAGTAAGGCGATGAGGATAACAGATTAGATGACGAAAGATTGGAGGGAGAGTACGGAAGAGGCGACTTCAGATATATAGGTGTAGCGCTTTTTTATTATAATAATAATTTCTTTCAATACACCAGCCATATCCCACCGAGGCAGGGTGGCCCAAAAGAAAAAACCAAAGTTTCTCCTTTCAAATTTAGTAATATATACAGGAGAAGGGGTTACTAGCCCCTTGCTCCCGGCATTTTAGTCGCCTCTTACAACACGCATGGCCTACGGAGGAAGAATTCTGTTCCACTTCCCCATGGAGATAAGAGGAAATAAACAAGAACAAGAAACTAGAAAGAAAATAGAAGAAAACCCAGAGGGGTATGTATATATACACTTGTACATGTATGTGTAGTGTGACCTGAGTGTAAGTAGAAGTAGCAAGAAGTACCTGAAATTTTGCATGTTCATGAGACAGAAAAAAAGGACACCAGCAATCCTACCATCGTGTAAAACAATTACAGGCTTTCGTTTTACACTCACTTGGCAGGACGGTAGTACCTCCCTGGGCGGTTGCTGTCTACCAACCTACTACCTAGGTATAATAATAATAATCTTCAGATATATAGGAGTGGACGTGTCAGCAGATGGGTCTATGAAGGACGAGGCAAATCATAGAATTGATGACAGGAAAAGGGCGATTATTATAATAATCAAGGGGGAAGCTCTAAACCCGGAGGATTATACAGCGCCTGGGGAGGGGATGTGGAAGGCATTCAGGCTTAATTTGGGGAACTGGAGCACAGATCCAATTCCCTAAATCAAGAGCCCATCACCAACATCAAGGAACCTTCCTTGAGGGGAGGAAAAGGACGAGTGGTGCATTTAGGAGTGTGAAGACAAAGAACTTTGTCCGTGGAAGCAAAGAGGGGAATGTACAAGAGTATAGTTATACCAACACTCTTATATAGGTGTGAAGCATGGGTGGTGAATAATGCAACAAGGAGAAGGCTGGAGGCAGTGGAGATGTCATGTCTGAGGGCAATGTGTGGTATGAATATAATGCAGAGAATCTGTAGTTCGGAAATTAGGAGGCGGCGCAGGATTACCAAACCTATTATCCAGACGGCTGAGGAGGGGTTGTTGAGGTGATTGACATGTAGAGAGGATGGAACAAAATAGAAAACTTTCGAGAGTGCAAAAATCCATAGTGGAGAGAAGGTGGAGTAGGGGTCAGCCTAGGAAAGGTTGGAGGGAGGGGGTAAAGGTGGTTTTGTGCGCGAGGGGCTTGGACTTCCAGCAAGCATGCGTGAGCAAATTTGATAGGAGTGAATGGAGAAATGGTTTTTAATACTTGACATGCTATTGGAGTGTGAACAAAGTAACATTTATGAAGGGATTCAGGGAAACCAGCAGGCCAGATTGGAGTCCTGGAGATGGGAAGTGTAGTGTCTGCACTCTGAAGGAGGGGTGTTAAAGTTCCAGTTTTATCACTGTAGTGTAAGCATGCCTCTGGCAAGAGTGATGAAGTGAATGATAGAAGTTTTTTTTTTGGCCACCCTGCCATGGTGGGAATCGGCCGATGTGTTAAAAAAAAAAAATTAGTATACAGCACTGCTCTGATAGCTCTGAGTTACTTGAGGCAAATATTGCAAATCTGTACTATACAGCTATGACACTACAAAGATGTATTTAAGGTTATCCTAGATCACTAAAATTTGATATTTTGCAATTTTTTTTTAGGTATAATCTCAAGGCTACTAGAAATACTTTAACTTTGACACTGTCATGGGGAATAAGTTTGTTTACATATTATACAATCAAAAAGAAGCGCACAAAGGCTAATTTGTTTACATAATATTTTAAGAAGTGCAAAAACTGTTAAAATATATACATTCACATCATATACTTTTATTTAATTTGTTTAAATAGTAACACTAAATTATTAAAAATAATGAATAAAAAGCCACATGTTGTTGAAAATATTTACTGGAAATAAAGCTTGAATATCAACAGATTATAAGTACATTCTCTTATTCCACAAATTATAAAACTATCTTACCAACAGAATATGAAATTAAAGAAAAACTTAATATAATTTGGAAATGCATGTAATATTTATGACTAAAACCTATTAGTTTTTGCTGCATCCTTTGCAAATATCCATATTTAACAATTCCTTAATATGATGAAAAACAGTATGCTGATTTCTCTTCAATGTGTCTTGCTTTAGAACTCTGTGTTAAATGGCCAGTATTTGTGATCCTTCACCCTAAGAGAAAAAGAATACACATTTGAATATGTAAGCATGTTCTGGGCATTTCTGACAATCAAAAAGGTTGAAACTCTTCAATTTTTCATTTATGCAATGATATACATTCTTGTGAATTAACATGGTAGTATACAAAAAAATTTTGCACTAAAACCTTATATTATGCTAATTTCGGCATGTTAACTTAATTCTACATAATTTATCTTAGATCAACACACTTGACCCTTTCACTGTCAGTCCCGTAATACTACAGCTTGCAAGCCAGTGTCAGTCCCGTAATACTATACGAAAATTCTAGGGACCTCCAATCTTGTGGAGAAAGCTGGTAGGCCTATGAGAGAATTGGTCCGAGTGGTCAGTGTGTGCAGTATAAAAAAAATCCCGTAGCATGCACTGCATGTTACAAGATTTAATCCAAGGAAGCAAACAACTAAAAGCCTTAAATTGAGATTACTCCAGCATATCAAAGACAATCCCCTTAAAAGCAGGGGTTCCCAACCTTTTCTATACTCCACACCCCTAGGAAATGTTTGATTAATGTTGCACCCCCAACAAAAGTAATATCACATCTGATTTCAAAAATTAGAAATTTGACTCACAAACTGAACTAAATACAGTACTGCGGGTGAACAAATTCAACTCAAAAAATAAGCTTTCACGCACCAGCCGTATCCCACCAAGGCGGGTTGGGCCAAAAGGAAAAATTAAAGTTTTTTCTTTTACATTTAGTAATATATACACAAGGGGTTACTAGCTCCTTGCCCCCGGCATTTTAGTCGCGTCTTACGACGCACATGGATAAAATGCAAATACAATGGTCCTCAATAGTCATCCAGCCTGAAAGTCGTCCATTTCGGAAATACAGTAGTCCCGTTATTTCGTTTAAACACTGCCTCGCAAATGGTCCGTTAATTCGCTAATTGTCTTTCGTCCTGGACACGTACTCACGGCCCAGCTACCTCAGCCTCCCTTCCCAGCCAGTGTGTCATTGTTTACCAGTGAGCGACGGTCCCCTCACGTGTTCATACGAAATATTTCATAATATTTCATTGATTTTAGTGCTTGCAAGTGCTAAATAAGCTACCATGGCTCCAAAGAAAGCTCCTAGTGCCAAGCCTTTGGTAAAGAAGGCGAGAAATACGATTGAATTTAAGAAAAACATCATTGAACAATATGAAAGTGGCGTACGTGTGGGCGAACTGGCCAGGATGTATAACAAATCCCGTACAACCATATCTTCCATCATATCCAAGAAAAAGGAAATCAAGGAAGCTGTTGTTGCAAAGGGGGTAAATATGCTGACAAAAATGAGATCACCAGTACTCGAAGATATTGAGAAGTTATTATTGGTGTGGATAAACGAGAAACAATTAGCAGGACAGTCTTATGACGTCGATTATTTGTGAAAAGGCTAGGCAGTTGCATGATGATTTGGTAAAGAAATTGCCTGCAACTAGTGGTGATGTGAGTGAATTTAAGGCCAGCAAAGGCTGGTTTGAGAGATTTAAGAAGCGTACTGGCATACACAGTGTGATAAGGCATGGCGAGGCTGCCAGTTCGGACCAAAAAGTGGCTGAAAAATATGTGCCGGAATTCAAGGAGTACATAGAGGCTGAAGGACTGAAACCTGAACAAGTGTTCAATTGTGACGAAACAGGCCTCTTTTGGAAGAAAATGCCAAAGAGGACCTACATTACTCAGGAAGAAAAGGCACTGCCAGGACACAAGCCTATGAAAGACAGGCTGACGCTCATGTACTCTGCTAATGCTAGTGGGGATTTCAAAGTGAAGCCGTTACTAGTGTACCATTCTGAAAATCCCAGAGTGTTCAAGAAAAACAATGTTATGAAGAGTAAATTGTGTATGTTTTGGAGATCTAATAAGGCATGGGTCACAAGGGACATTTTTGTCGAGTGGTTCAATGAAGTGTTTGGCCCTAGTGTGAAGAATTACCTCCTGGAAAAGAAATTGGATCTCAAGTGCCTCCTAGTAATGGACAATGCACCTTCTCATCCTCCAAACTTGGATGACCTAATTCTGAAGGAGTTTGGATTCATCACAGTAAAGTTCTTGCCCCCGAATACCACTCCTCTCCTCCAGCCCATGGACCAGCAAGTCATTTCAAACTTTAAAAAAAACTACACCAGAGCAATGTTTGAAAGGTGCTTTAATGTGACCTCAGACACTCACTTGACCCTAAGAGATTTTTGGAAAGAACACTTCAGTATTCTCCATTGCATAACCCTTACAGGTAAGGCTTGGGAGGGAGTGACTACAAGGACTTTGAACCCTGCTTGGAGAAAACTGTGGCCAGATTGTGTCCACAAGAGGGATTTTCAAGGGTTTGGGGCTGACCCTGATGAGCCTATGACAGTTGTGAACTCTATTGTGGAACTGGGGAGTTCCATGGGGTTGGATGTGAGTTTGGAGGATGTGGAAGAGTTGGTGGAGGACCACAACGAAGAGCTAACCACTGAGGAGCTGCAAGAGTTTCAGCAGGAAGAGCAACAGATTGCAGCTCAGAATCTTGCTGCAGAGGAGAAAGAGATGGAAGAAGGTGCCTTCTTCAGAAATTAAGGAAATTTTTGAAATGTGGGGTAGGATGGAAAGATTTATGGAGAAACATCACCCTGAGAAGGATGTTGCAAGCCATATCAGCAACTTGTACAGTGACAGTCTTGGCCATTTTAGGGAAGTTTTAAAGAGATGCCAGAAACAGAGCTCTCTGGACAGTCTTTTTTGCGAGACAGGACTCCAGTGACTCAAGCTGGTCCTAGAGGCATTAACAAAGAGAGAAGAGAAGTAACCCCAGAAAAGCACTTGGTACCTGAGGTGTTGATGGAAGGGGATTCCCCTTCCAAACAGTAAATAATCCAATCTCTCTCCTTCTCCAGTCTTCCATACACTACAAAGAATCACCAATAAAGGTAAGTGTTATTCTGTTAATGTTTCATTCATCATGTGCCATTGTATTGTTTATGTACTACATCTATATTTCATATAAATTTTTTTTTTGTTTTAATACTTCTGGGTGTCAGGAACAGATTAATTGTATTTACATTATTTCTTATGGGGAAAATTGATTCGAAAATCGTCTATTTCGATAACAGTCCCACTTCCAGGAACTGATTATGGACGATAATTGAGGGACCACTGTACAGTGGAACCTCTACTTGCGAGCGTGTCCACGTGCGAGTTTTTCCAAATACAAGAAGTCGATGGGTCGATTTTTTGCTTCCATACGTGAGCAAAATTTCCATAAGCGAGCAGACCTCAGACAGGTTCCTTGACACTGGTGAGGGGCTTTTGCTCTTGATCTCGGGAATTGTATCTCATTTGTTTGTTGGACTATATTATTGAAACTTGGGCAATGTATGATGGAAAGATGCATCTTAACGTACACCAAAAATGAAAGAAATCTATGCATAAATAATGGAGTTCACTTCTCAGCAATTAGCCATTCCTTAGCAGTATATTCGTATGGTTTTTATGGTTGTATTCTCGTTTTTTTTGGTCTCATTTGATAGAATGGAAGATATATTACAGAAATAGATATGATTTTGATTGCTTTCACAACGAAAAGTACCTTAAAACTGAGCTCAACGTAGGAGAAATGGTCCATTGCTTGGCTATGTTTAAGAGTAAACAAATTACGTCACTGTCCATTCCAATATGCAGTCGTGAATGGGTTGACATTATTTATACAATTATTGCAATAAGAAATATCAGTAAATCTTATATTTTTTGTGTGAATAAAAATTACAAATTATTTATATAATAATAATAATAATAATAATAATACGTATAACAATAATAATACGTATAATAACAATAATGCGTATAATAATAATATGTATAATAATAATACATATATAATAATGTACTACATATAATAATTATAATAAGACTGCTTCAAAAGGCTGTCACTAGATGGCAGTGTTTACCACAACAAAGAGGGAGCGGTTGTGGCTGCCTCCACCTGTTACATAATGACATATTTTATTCATTCTAGAGTATATATCAGGTTTCTATGTGATTTATATTGTTTATTATTTCATATTAGACAAACTGTGATAGATAAATAAGCCAAAGAGTTGATGATAGCGAAATATTCAAGGAGTATGTTGTCCTGTCTCCAGACAAACTCTTGTCGACTGCCGACACCACCCATACCACTACACGAATGACATTTTACTCATTTTAGAGTATATATCAGGTTTCTGTGTTATTTATATTGTTTATGTCATATTAGATGAAGTGAGATAGATAAATAAGCCGTAGAATTGATATTGGTGAAATTATTGAAGTACAGAATTCCACTGGAATGGATTAATTGCATTTCAATTAATTTAAATGAGGAAAACTGACTCTGCAAACGAGCAAATCCAATTGCGAGCAAGGTCATGGAATGGATTAAACTCGCAAGTAGAGGTTCCACTGTATAAATTGAGAAATTAGGAAACTTTTTGGTAAAAATGGAATTGTGTTTTTCATTAGGAGACTGTTTCACCCCCTGAAATGCCACCTTGCATTCCCCGGGTGGTGCATGCACCCCAGGTTGGAAAACTCCTGCCTTAAAGGGAGGAGAAAATTTAAGCGAATACAGAAGCAAAGTCATGAGGCTAAATATCAATGCAATGGATAACCATTCTAACTAAACTACTCTATATACTTACTAGATCTAACACAGGCAATATATTACATGCTCAAATATGATTCAATACCAAAGGAGTCCTGCTGATTTCATTAAGATAGTAGGCTTCTATTTCAATAAATATAGGAAGTTTTTTAAATAATCTTTGTTTTATATAAACAGCAAGGTTGATTTGTTAGCACCCCTTTTAATACTACTATATTCATAACTTGCCACTAAAAGCAAGTCTGAAAAATTTGAGCAGAAAGAAAAAAAAATTCTATAAATCTGATAATGTTAAGATTTTCTGTCACTAGATGCCACTGACACAACAAAAATTCTTCAAAAACTTACGCATTGAGGTGGAGAAAACGACCATTGCAATCAAAACTATCGAGGATTTTCATGCCTTCATCAGTTATGTTGAAGTCAAACACCTGTTAGGAAATTTATAATCTGTTATATAACCTTAATGAATTGTTTCTACAAATGTTTACATTTTTTATTTGAATTTTCATTCAAGAGTGTAGTTATATACAATAGTATACAAGAAGAAATACACGAACTGAAAGTCACTGCAAGGATAGTAATAGCAGTGATACTTACAGAACACTATGTAGGTTACACAGCACTCATACCAATATAAATTATCGATATACCACAGTAGGAAAGATAGGTAAAATTTAGGTTATGAACATAAAATGTTTAATGTGAACATAATTATACCAAAGTTAAAAATGATCAGCAAACATTTAAAGCCTAATAATGTCAAAGGACTTCCCTAAAAGTGTTCCTGGAGATCCCTACAGCAGAGATGTCTTAACCTTTATTAGCTTGTGCACCACCCAAACCAAATTTATTCCAATCCATGCACTTCTCCCAATCTTCAGTAAGAAAAAAATTATGCATTCAAAACTGAACAAAAATTGTCCATTTTCTGAAGTTAACAAAACCTAAAAATTACTTAGCAAACATCCTAACAAACTATTTTGCCATTTTTCTCATTAACTTTTGTACATGTTTCTATTTATGCTACTACCCACATTTCATTTTGCAACTAGCCAGAACAATACTCCCTGCAGTTTTAAATATTTCAATTTCCATTCATGAACAGACTTAAAAACATACCTGGATGTTAGATTCTATGTTAGACTTGGTAACAGATTTGGGGATGACAATGACATTGCGTTGGATCTGAAATGAAAATGCTTCTTTCTGAAACTGCATTTTGCAAGTGTTATAATATATATGATAGGTAAAAATTTACTACTTACATTTATTTATTATTAAAAAAAAAAATTATTTGCAATGTATTAAATGATATAATAAGCCTTCCTAGTCCAGTCTATGAATATTAGCATACAACACAATCACCTTACATGAAGGGCCTGTGGAATATGGAATAAGTAATGTTCCAAGCAACTAAAAGTCAACCCCCACCCCATATTCTTTTTACTACTGGACTAGGTAGTAAAAAAAAACTATAATGGCATGATTTACCTCGCATTTGGTTAGTCATTACCTGTAGCCTACTGGGCTGAAGTGGATGTATTTTAATTAGAAGGAAGTGCTAAACATTTAGGGGAGGTAAAACATCACACGGGGAACAGGAGGTAGTCGGGGTAGATCCAAGGGGAGGAAGGTCCACTTCCTTGGGTCAAGAGCCCCTCACTGGCATGAAGATTTCTCCCTTTAGGAGAGAGATGGATGTAGTCAAGAATATCACCTAATTCACTCTTGCCTGAAAGCTTTACCTACTGTAGTTGACTGCACTTCTTTCAATTCAAACCATCCAGCACAAACTTTCATTGTATTGAAAGCTCTCCTTCAGTCTCGCCCAGTTTTACAGAAAGACAGGACTTTGTCCCTCATTATCTGAGCACTGAGGGTAGCCCTATTTTGGGTAGTTATTCCCTCAATCCACTCGTGCAATAACTTTTTCCTCAAGTTTAATGACCTCTGGCATTCTCTTAAGCAGGTAAAAACTTACTTGCTGGACAAACTCTTTCTCAGTTTCTAATTGTATAAATGGTCAATTCATTTACACCAAACTCTCAGGCTGTGTCCATCATTTGTGCACCACTAAGCAGTTGCAACAAGCACTTTCACTTTCATCACCATAACAGGACCTATTATGGTGATTCTAGTATTCCTCGAGTGCCACTCTTAATATCCAGAAAACAAGAAGGAATAGCCACTAAACATTCAAGCCCCAAAGGCCAAATTGGATCAGGCAAAGAAATTCTATAGCATTTATTACCAAATTTTATGAGCAGCTTATTGCCATGCAAATTAGTGTATTTTGCCAACATTATGCACATTAACTAATACAAATCTTTTATGATTGTACATTCCATGATGCAAAGGCTTACCCAAATTACCAAATTTATTTGCACCTTTTTGAAATGTTTCAAGAAAATTGCACTCCAAGAGGTTTACCATACCAATTCAGTACATTTATTACTTTAATACGTACTCACCTAATTATGGTTGCAGGGGTTGAGTCACAGCTCCTGGTCCCACCTCTTCACTGGTCACTACTAGGTCCACACACTCCCTGCTCCATGAGCTTTATCATTTCTCTTCTTAAAGCTAAGTTTGGATCCTGCCTCCACTACATCACACTCCAGATTGTTCCACTTCCTGACATCTCTAACTGAAGAAATGTACTTCCCAACATCCCTGCGACTCATCCGAGTCTTAAACCTCCAGTTGTGACCCCTTGTGGTGTCCCATCTCCAAAACATCCTGTTCCTATCAACCTTATCAATGCTTAGTACTGTACATGTTGCATTCCCCCTATCCCTCCTGTCCTCCAATGTTGTCAGGTCTATTTCCCTTAACCTCTCCTCATAGGACATACCCCTCTGTGTCTATCTTTGTCCCTCTCTCTTTATCCACCCCCTCTGTCTCTCCATCTGTGTCTTGTGTTCTTCCTACATTCTATAACCAAAATTAAGGTACACCTGTACACCTTTTATAAATAAAATAGCTTTTATCAGTCCTTACAAATTATTATAGTACTGAGAGAAAATTCATAACAGACCACAATAATGTCCATGAAGCAAATTATTATTGAAGTAGTGCTCACAAAACAAGCCGAGTCAGATACAGTACTTAAAAACAATAAGATAGTGCAGAGAAATAATTTACCTGATAGCGGATGAGAATCTGGGCAGGTGTTTTGTTGTATTTTTGAGCTATGGCTACAATCTTAGGATCTTCCAATAGCAGTGGATCACCAGGCTTTGCCCATGGCCTGTATGAATAAAGTTAAAAGATTTTTAAAGGAAAAGGATGATAGTACAGTACTAAAACAATAATATAGTAAATTATGTAATTTAAAAATGCAAACACATTAGATATGAATATTTTGTATGCTTTCATTAATATGTAATAAGAATTACTGTTACAAAGAATAATGTCAATATTACTGTTCATTTTATGTTGGAGAAGACCTACCCTAGTCCTCCCATGCCTACTAATAATCAACATTGTACAGTCAAAATTAATCTGCATTTCTTTACCATTCTCTACCAAAGGAAATGTGTTGACCTAGTATGGCCTGCTTACCATGAGCATGTGGGCTTGCAGTACACCTCCATTCTCATGTAACTGATGGGTGAAAGAATCTGCCTAGCATGGGTCTGTAGGTCAACTGCAGTGCTCCTCTAATCTCATGCCTAGCATGAGCAAGTAGGTCTATTGCAATGCTCCTTTATTTTTATGTGTTGCATAATAGAGGTACAGACATGTATACATAGGGCTCCTGACCAGCGTAATGTGATCAATCATGAGGGCGTCTTCACAAAATTTAACTTAATAACAAAAACATACAATGGGAACAAGTCAACCATGTCCTAAATGAAACAAGCTGGGAAGATATCCTAAACAACATAGATCCGAACCTTTGCCTAGAAAAAATGAACTGTGGCACCTCCCTATACAGATGAAGGTGAAGAATCAGAGCTGCTGAGAGGGGCCAATACATCTGAAATATGAAGGGAGGCACTGGTCAGAGAAATAGCCAATATCGAATTAAAGCTTAAGGAATCTTACAAGAGAAGATTCTCGAAAGGGAAGGGGGGCACTTTTTATGCCAAATCTAAGGGTAAAACATTCAGTATTGGGTCCCTGCTTAGGTGAGATGGGACATACACAAATGACAGCAAAGAAATGAATGAGACATTAAAGTCTCAATACGACTTGTGTTCAGCGAGCCATTACCAAGACTAAGGGTCGACAATCTAAATGGATTCTTTGTGACAGACCCAAAATTTGATCATCTCAAAAGTCTCTGATATTATCCTAACACCACAAGACTTTGAAAAGGCAATAAATGACATGCCCGTGCACTTTGCCTCAGGCCCAGACTCGTGGAACTCAGTGTTCATCATGAAATGCAAAAAGCCCCTGTCACATGCCTTCAGTATTCTATGGAGAGGGAGCATGGACATGGGTCATCTCACTCACTAAAAGCAACAGACACAGCCCCACTACAAAGGTGGCAGTAAAGCAATTGCAAAGAACTACAGACTGATAGCAATAACATCCCATATCATAAAAATCTTTGAAAGGGTTCTAAGAAGCAAGACTGCCAACCACCTAGATACCCATCAATTACACAACCCAGAGAAACACGGGTTTAGAGCAGGTTGCTCCTGCTTGTCCCAGCTACTGGACCACTATGACAAGGCCCTGGATGCTATAGAGGATAAACAAAATGCAGGTTTAGTACACAAAGGCTTTGCGAAAGCCTTCGACAAGTGCAACAACGGTGTAATGGTGCACAAAATGTTTGATGAAGGAATAACAGGGAAAGTTGGTAGATGGATTTGTAACTTCCTAAAAAATAGAACACAAGGAGCAATAGTAAACAAAAGTCTGAGGCAGCTATGGTGAAAAGCTCTGTTCCATAAAGCACAATACTCGCTCCCATCCTACTATCTGACAGGTAAACCATAGCTCCATGTTTTCCTTTGCGGATGACACCCGAATTGCTATGACTACAAGACTCCAAGCAGACATCAACCAAATCTTCAAGTGAGCCACTCAAAACAATATGAAATTCAATGAAGAGAAATTTCAACTACTCAGATATGGAAAACCTGAGAAAATTAAAACTATCAGGGTATACAACAAATTCTAACCATACAATAGGGCAAAAAAGTAATGTGAAGGACCTGGGAGTGATAATGTCAGAGGATCTCGCCTTCAAAGACCACGGCACACATAAGTACGATAAAGCATCTAAATTACTGGGAATGGCTGAAGTGCCTTGATTTGTATTCCATGGAACACGGGTACTAATCCTATAGGGATTAGTACCAAACTCGACACAAAAATCACTCCCTACGAAAGCAAAAGACTCAGCAGGAGATGCAACATTCCCCCAATGAAAAGCAAAGGGTGCCACCACAAGTACACAGACAACACAATAAGTGTCAGGGCCCCAAGACTGTCCAACTGCCTCCCAAGAATACAACCATAAAAACCATACGAAAATACACTGGTTGCCATTTTACACCAAAAAGTTTTTTTTTTCATTATGCACTGTGTGCTGCAGGGTTTCTTTTATACTGCACACACACACACACACACACACACACACACACACACACACACACACATGCACACACACACACACATGCACACACACACACATGCACACACACACACATGCACACACACACCACATGCACACACACCCCACATGCACACACACACACACATGCACACACACACACACCCCACGCACACACGCACACACAAACCACTGACTCGACCCCTGCAACCACAAATAGGTGAGTACACACACACACACACACACACACACACACACACACACATGCACACACACACACATGCACACACACACACATGCACACACACACACATGCACACACACAACACACACACACACACACACACACACACACACACACACACACACATGCACACACACACATGCACACACACACATGCACACACACACATGCACACACACACACATACACATGCACACACATATACACAAACCTGAGAACAGCATTCCGATACCTTAGTAAGGAATCATTCAAGACACTGTACACCGTGTATGTCAGGCCCATACTGGAGTATGCAGCACCTGTTTGGAACCCGCACTTGATAAAGCACGTCAAGAAACTAGAGAAAGTACAAAGGTTTGCGACAAGGTTAGTTCCAGAGCTAAGGGGAATGTCCTATGAAGAAAGATTAAGGGAAATCGGCCTGACGACACTGGAGGACAGGAGGGTCAGGGGAGACATGATAATGACATATAAAATACTGCGTGGAATAGACAAGGTGGACAAGGACAGGATGTTCCAGGGAGGGGACACAGAAACAAGAGGCCACAATTGGAAGTTGAAGACACAAATGAGTCAGAGAGATAGTAGGAAGTATTTCTTCAGTCACAGAGTTGTAAGGCAGTGGAATAGCCTAGAAAATGACGTAGTGGAGGTAGGAACCATACACAGTTTTAAGACGAGGTTTGATAAAGCTCATGGAGCGGGGAGAGAGAGGGCCTGGTAGCAACCGGTGAAGAGGCAGGGCCAGGAGCTAGGACTCGACCCCTGCAACCACAAATAGGCGAGTACAAATAGGTGAGTACACACACCATGCTGACCCAGTCTCTCATGTGTAGATCTACCAGGTTTCTTGCGCAAAATTGGAAGCCGCTAGAATTTAGTTTTATGGGACTGACCCTGGCTAAAAAGCTGTGGTATTACAGGACCGACCCCAAAAGGGCTTACCAGATGGGGTGGTAATAGTTGTAATTATTATGTCAACCATGTAACCCATGTGGGTCATTCAGCACAAGGAACATTTGAGGGTTATTCATCAGCCTGGTTTCTGATCAGCCACTGTTGTTGTGCCTGAATTTTTTTTTAGCCGTGTGTAGTTTTCTATCCTATCCAATATAGATACAATACAATTAGTGAGACCTACCTGTCAGGAGATCCTAGAGGACTGTAAGCAGTGATATGTATATTTTTTGACAAGGAGTACTCAATCAATTTCTTCTGGTTCAAGTAAGGATGACACTCAACCTAAAACAAAAACAAAAGCATTAGCACATGGCAACTAATAGACCTGAATCCAAGTATCAATAACAAAATGTATTGAAAGTTTAAATGTTTTTAATACTATACAGTATACATGTTCTTAGTTATGACTACTGTAAAATTAAAATAAGCTGAGGCTTCAATACTAAAGCACCACATACTACAGCTAACAAATAAACTCAAGCCACAAATATTTATTAAAATCTTGCCATTAATCTTAGCAATATCAAAGAAGCATTCTTGTTGGGCAAACTGAGAGGTAAGCTATCAGAACTGTATGGATTTCATATATTTTCAACAACAACAACAAAAAAAAAACTATCAGTAAGGCTTGCTCAGACCAATCAACAAGAAATATGATAACAAGAAGTATGAGTAACACTTCATCTCCATGGAAATAGTAAAGATAAGATGTAAACATCACAGCCTAACAGACTTGCTATTCAAATTGATGTAAAGTTTCCAAAAATATATTTTAAAGATTCCCAAATTCTAGGGTTAAAAAACTGCAACCAAATGAACCCTCCATCTCAACCACTGATAATGTTCACAGGCTAAACTTATCTACAGCAAGAACAAATCTCACAATCTTAACCCTTTCAGGGTCTGTGCCGTAGATCTACAGCTTTACGTTCAGGGTCCAAACCAGAGATCTACGCTATGAGCTCAGCTCATTCTGATAGCTGTGAGCAGTAAATTTGGACCTAGATATGAGAGAGTATATCTATGTGGTATGTGTGCACCACATAAAAACTCCTGCAGCACACAGTGCATAAGGAGAGAAAAAAATGAGATGGTAATTTTTTATTAAAACAGCAACTTTGCAGTGTTTTTTCGTATGTTTTCTTATAGTTGTATTTGCAATTTCTTGGTCTCATTTGACAGAATGCAAGATATACTACAGAAATGGAGATGATTTTGATTGATTTAAGTACTAGAAATGGCTTGAAACTGAGCTCAAAGTAGCAGAAATGTTAAATTATTGCCAATGTTGAAGAGTAAACAAATGACCTCAAGTCTAATACATGACAGCTGGTGGGTCTAATATACATTCATCAATGTGGTGATATTATTTACACAATTATTACAGTACTGCATAACAGTAAATCTTCTATTTTTTGGGTTTGAATAAAAATTCATTATGTGAATAAAAAATCAAAATGGAATTCATTTGTAAAGCCTGAAAACATAACTAAGGAACAGAGGAAATGTTAGTTTAGTGCCAGGAATGCCTGCATTGTTTATCCTGGACCCTATTTTGAAATTAGAATACTTTGAAATACTTTTGAAAGTATTTTTGAAAGTACTTTTGAAATTGGATTTTTTTTTTTTTTTTATCACACTGGCCGATTCCCACCAAGGCAGGGTGGCCCGAAAAAGAAAAACTTCCACCATCATTCACTCCATCACTGTCTTGCCAGAAGGGTGCGTTACACTACAGTTTTTAAACTGCAACATTAACACCCCTCCCAAATTACCAATTTCCAGTCACTTTATTTTGTTGTTGAAACAGTTGACTGGGCGATTTCTTGTGCTCAATCGATAGAACAGAAGTAATACTAGTGAAATAGCTAAGAATTTGGTTGACTGGAATACTGTAATTGCCCTAAAATGAGAGTCAAATTCGGCAAAATCGCCGATGCGTAAATATCGCCGACACATCAAAATTCGCAAGAGCATAATTTCATCAATTTTCCATCAAATTTCGTACTTTTTGTTTTATTACCTTCAGAAAAAGATTCTCTACCATTTCAAAAGAAAAAATAACAAAATTATTTTTTGAAAATTCTTGGACCCTGGTGCACACTTTGAAATTTGGCCTCTGGACCCTGAAAGGGTTAAGAGTATCATAACATCAGCAGCTATCTGACTGGTGACTAACCTAATTCCTTTCACTTTACTCCTATCACTTCCTCAGACATACCCACAATAACGAATGCTTAACCCTGTCACTGTTGGTGCCATATTACGGATTGCAAGCCAGTGTTGAAGTAATATTGCGCCAAAATTCTAGCGGCTTCAAATCTAGCGGGAGAAAGTTGGTAGACCTACATGTGAGAGAATGGGTCTGCGTGCTCAGTGTGCAGTATAAAAAATCCTGCAGCACGCAGTGCATAACGAGAAAAAAAAACTGACAGTGTTTTTGGTTTAAAACACCGACTTCGTGGAGTATTTTCATGTGGTATTTATGGTTGTATTCTAGTTTTCTTGGTCTCATTTGATAGAATGGAAGATATATTACAGGAATAGAGGAGTTTGAATGGTTTTCAGACAAAGTATCTTGAAATTGAGCTCAAAGTAGTGGAAATGTTCGATTTTTGCACATGTTAAAGAGTAAACAAATCACGTGTGTTCAAGACACGTCAACTGGTGGGTCTAATATGCTTTCACAAATGAGCTTATATTATTTATATCATTTTTACAATAATGCAGTAGTCTGCATAACAGTAAATCTGTAGAATGACATGGAAAGCATATAAATCTATAGGGGAAGGAAGGAGGGGTAGGGGTCGTCCTCGAAAGGGTTGGAAAGAGGGGGTAAAGGAGGTTTTGTGGGTGAGGGGCTTGGACTTCCAGCAAGCGTGCATGAGCGTGTTAGATAGGAGTGAATGGAGACGAATGATACTTGGGACCTGACGATCTGTTGGAGTGTGAGCAGGGTAATATTTAGTGAAGGGATTCAGGGAAACCAGTTATTTTCATATAGTCGGACTTGAGTCCTGGAAATGGGAAGTACAATGCCTGCACTTTAAAGGAGGGGTTTGGGATATTGGCAGTTTGGAGGGATATGTTGTGTATCTTTATACGTATATGCTTCTAAACTGTTGTATTCTGAGCACCTCTGCAAAAGCAGTGATAATGTGTGAGTGTGGTGAAAGTGTTGAATGATGATGAAAGTATTTTCTTTTTGGGGATTTTCTTTCTTTTTTGGGTCACCCTGCCTCGGTGGGAGACAGCCGACTTGTTGAGAAAAAAAAAAAAAAATCTATTGTGAATAAAAAATCAAAATGGAAAGAAAGCATAATATAAGAGGGACCTGGAGACGTGACTAATGAACAGAGAAAAATGTTATTTTAGTGCTAGGAATGTTTGTAGTGTTAATTCTGGACCCTATTTTGAAATTGGCCTTGCTCGAATCGTTTATGAAATTGGCCAAATTACCAATTTCTGATCACTTTATTAAGTAGCTGAAATCAGTAAATGGGCAGTTTCTTGTACTCAACTGAGAGAACAAATGGAGTTCTAGCAAAATAGTTATGAGTTTGGTCAACTGGTACAACGGAATTGGCCGAAAATAGGGCTCAAAGTGGGCGAAATCGCCGATGTGTAAATACTGCCAAAAGCACTAACTTCGTGAGAGCGTAATTCCATAAGTTTTCCATCAAATTTTGTACTTTTGGTGTCATTACCATCAGGAAGTTTTTTTTTTTTTGTGAAAATTCTCCAACACAGAGCTAGTTTGTGAGCAGGGGTCTACAGTGAAAGGGTTAAAAATACAGCTAGTAACAAATCTACAGCAAACTATAATGCTGGTAGTATTGCAGTCCTTTCAAGCAATTCTTTAAAATCAAATCTTTCCAGGTAGTCTCAAAATATCAAAGATAACATCCATCCACAAAGGTGGGGATTCAACTAGTGTTAATACAGACTAATACCTAGTCTACAAATACTATAAAAATATTTAGGAAAGTAATCCACAAGAAGCTGTACTATAGTTTTAACCAAATAATCTACAGTTTCCTTGTCAGTTTAGACTAAAAAAAAATTGCAAATAAAAGAGCTTGACAAAGCAGTCATCACTTGAAAGATAAAAGTATCTTAAGCCTTTCAGGGTTTCGACCGTACTAGTACGGCTTACGCACCAGGGTTTTTGACGTACTAGTACGGCTTACGCACCAGGGTTTTTGACGTACTAGTATGTACGCCTAAATTCTAGCGCCCTCAAATCTAATGAGAGAAAGCTGGTAGGCCTACATATGAAAGAATGGGTCTATGTGGTCAGTGTGCGTGGTAAAAAAAAATCATGCAGCACACAGTGCGTAATGAGAAAAAAAAAACTGACCGTGTTTTTGGATTAAAACAGTGACTTTGCACTGTATTTTCATATGGTATTTATTGTTGTATTCTAGTTCCCTGGTCTCATTTTATAGAATGGAAGACATATTACAGAAATTTAGATGATTTTGACTAGTTTTACAATGAAAAGTACCTTGAAATTGAGCTCAAAGTTGCAGAAATGTTTGATTTTTACCAAAGTTCAAAAGTAAACAAATCATGCTATGCGTCCAATACACGTCAACTGGTGAGTCTAATATTCTTTCACAAGTGCATTGATATTATTTATACCATTTCTATACTAATGCAGTAGTCTGCATAACAGTAAATCTTCTATTTTTTTTTGTGAGAATAAAAATTCAAAGTGGAAAGCAAAAGAATGTAAGAGGGGCGTGGGGACGTGACTAATGAACAGAGGAAATGTTATTTTAGTGCCAGGAATGTCTTTCTTGTTTATTCTGGACCCTATTCGGAAATTGGCATCTTTTGAAATTTGTGTGAAATTAGCAAAATTGCTAAATTCTGACCACTGTATTGGATAGTTGAAATTGGTAAATGGGTGGTTTCTTGTACTCATTCGATAGAAAAAATGGATTTCTAGCGAAATAGTTATGATTTTTGTAGACTAGTACACTGGAATTGGCCAAAAATAGGGCTCAAAGTGGGCAAAATCACCAATGCGCAAACATCGTCGAGACCGCTAACTTCGCAAGAGCATAATTCCGTAAGTTTTCCATCAAATTTCATACTTTTGGTGTCATTATGATCGGGAAAAGATTCTCTATCATTTCACAAGAAATTTTTTTTTTTTTTCTTTGAATTTTGGGGGACCCTGAGAACAAGTCTTTGAGAGGGCCTGTGGACCCTGAAAGGGTTAAGGGTTAAATGACTAGCACTAAGTCTAATCCTGGGTAATAAATTTAAATTTAATGCTCATATCCATATCAGTGCCTGGGGATGCACTGGCTATCTCAATACAATCACTCAAAAGGCAGCTATCAGAAAACACAGTGGAACCTCAGTATATGACCAGCTCAGCACTCTAGCAAACAAATACGACCTGCCAGAACTTCGCTGTAAACTATTTCGTGTTCCTCCGCATTTTTTGGCATTTTTTTTTTTTTTGGATTTGTATAAACAAGTCACCATGGGGCCTACGACGATTAGTGATAACAGCCAACCAAACAGAAAATTGGTTGGGAAGAACTTGTTCGATACTCAAATGGAGTGGCACTCGAACAGCCTTATGGAATGAATTAAGGTTGCATACTGAGGTTCCACTGTACAGCCAACACTATGACCTTATTAATCACAATCTTGAAAACAAATGACATTCATACTCACTGCTCTTCACTCCACATCATAATATTATGCTGGAATGCTAATGCTGATCCTAAGAAACTTCCTGGAAAACTAACAGGGATCCCAGAAGAAACACATACTGTACCTGGTTGGTTACTGGAACAATCTTGCCATGCTCAAGGATACGTTCTATCTGATCCTTGTTAAAGTTGGATAAACCAATGGACTTGACAAGACCCAAAGAAACAGCCTTTTCCAATTCAAGCCAACTGTCAACATAGTCAACATCACTGTACAGTACTTTTCCACTGGCATCTTGTGGGAACTTTTCTCCTCCTTCCTGGAATGTTTAAAATAAGAAAATATATAACAATAATAGTAACAGTAATTAAAAAAAAAAAAAAAATTATTAACACATCGGCAGTTTCCCACCAAACCAGGGTGTCCCAAAAAAGAAACTTTCATCATTCACTCCATCATTGTCTTGCCAGAGGCATGCCTACACTAGTTATAAAACCTTCAACATTAACACCCATCCTTCAGAGTGCAGCTGTGTAACTCCTGTACAACTAACCTAGAATTAATTGTAAACAATTTTATAGATCTGAGAATACAACAAATGCCATTACATAATAGATGTACAGAATACAGTATTAAGGTTGTACATAATTTTCTTTTGACGAACCGGCCGTATCTCACCAAGGCAGGGTGACCTAAAAAGAAAAACTAAAGTTTTTCCACTTTAAATTTAGTAATTTATACAGGGAGGGTGTGTAAAGAAAGCTGAAAGTGAACATAGATAAGAGTAAGGTGATGAGGGTATCAAACAAGTTAGGTAAAGAACAACTGGATATCACATTGGAGAGAGGGAGTATGGAAGAAGTGAACATATTCAGATATTTGGGAGTAGATCTGTCAGCAGATGGGTTTATGAAGGATAAGAATCACAGAACTGATGAAAGTAAAAATGCGAGTCTTGCATTGAGGTATCTGGGAGATAGAGAGAGATACAGAAAGAGAGAGAGATACAGAGATACAGATACAGAGAGAGAAGAGAGAGATACAGAGAGAGAAAAGAGAGATACGAGAGAGAGAGAGAAAGAGAGATACGGAGAGAGATACAGAGAGAGAAGAGAGAGATACAGAGAGAGAAGAGAGAGATACAGAGAGAGAAGAGAGAGATACAGAGAGATAGAGAGAGAAAGAGAGAAAGAGAGAGAAGAGAGAGAGAACAGAGAAGAGAGAGAAGAGAGAGAGAAGAGAGAGATACAGAGAGAGATACAGAGAGAGAAGAGAGAGATACAGAGAGAAAGAGAGAGATACAGAGAAGAGAGATACAGAGAGAGAAGAGAGAGATACAGAGAGAGAAGAGAGAGAGATAAGAGAGAGAAGAGAGAGATACAGAGAGAGAAGAGAGAGATAAGAGAGAGAAGAGAGAGATACAGAGAGAGAAGAGAGAGATACAGAGAGAGAAGAGAGAGATACAGAGAGAGAAGAGAGAGATACAGAGAGAGAAGAGAGAGATACAGAGAGAGAAGAGAGAGATACAGAGAGAGAAGAGAGAGATACAGAGAGATCGATAAGAGAAGAGAGAGATACAGAGAGAGAAGAGAGATACAGAGAGAGAAGAGAGAGATACAGAGAGAGAAGAGAGAGATACAGAGAGAAGAAGAGAGATACAGAGAGAGAAGAGAGAGATACAGAGAGGAGATACAGAGAGAAAGAGAGAGATACAGAGAGAGAAGATACAGAGAGAGATAAGAGAGAGGATACAGGAGAGAGATACAGGAGAGAAGAATACGAGAGAGATACAAGAAGAGAGAGATACAGAGAGAGTAAGAGAGAGATACAGAGAGAAGAGAGAGATACAGAGAGAGAAGAGAGAGATACAGAGAGAGAAGAGAGAGATACAGAGAGAGAAGAGAGAGTACAAGATACAGAGAGAGAAGAGAGAGATACAGAGAGAGAAGAGAGAGATACAGAGAGAGAAGAGAGAGATACAGAGAGAGAAGAGAGAGATACAGAGAGAGAAGAGAGAGATACAGAGAGAGAAGAGAGAGATACAGAGAGAGAAGAGAGAGATACAGAGAGAGAAGAAGAGAGAGATAGCAGAGAGAGGAGAGAGAGATACAGAGAGAAGAGAGAGATACAGAGAGAAGAGAGATATACAGAGAGAGGGGGGAAGTTATACATGGAAGCAAAAAAGGGAATGTACGAGAGTATAGTGTTACCAACACTCTTATATGGGTGTGAAGTGTAGGTTGTAAATGCTGCAGCGAGAAAGAGGCTGGAAGCAATGGAGATGATGTGCTAAGGGCAGTGTGGTGTAAATATTATGCAGAGAATTCGTAGTGTGGAAATTAGTAGAAAGTGTGGAGTCACTAAAAGTATTGTTCAGAGGGCTGAACAGGGGTTATTGAGGTGGTTCAGTTATTTAGGGAGGAGGGAACAAAATAGGTTGACTTGGAGGGTGTATAAATCTGTAGCCTGATATTAAGAATCTTAACCAGCAAGTTAGTCTACTCAGTATCACATGATTTCCAGACTTTTCACTTAATTATTCAGGCAATGTGTTCTTATAAGAAAATGCAGTTGACCCTTGGTTAAAGATGACATCGGCTAGCGATGCATTTTAGCCTAAAAATATTGGCTCGGCTAATGATGAAAAACTCTGTTAAGGACAATTGTCCCGAACACATCCACCTGGCCGTTCAGCCTGAGTGCGCCCCAGCCCTTCCTTCAGCTAGTATGCCATTGTTCACAAGCCAGTGCGGACGGTTCCACGCATACTTTCTTTCTTTCAACACACCGGCCATATCCCACCAAGGCAGGGTGGCCCAAAAAGAAAAAGGAAAGTTTCTCTTAAATTTAGTCATTTATACGGGAGAAGGGGTTACTAGCCCTTTGCTCCTGGCATTTTAGTCGCCTCTTACAACACGCATGGCTTACGGAGGAAGAATTCTGTTCCACTTCCCCATGGAGATAAGAGGAAATAAACAAGAACTAGAAAGAAAATAGAAGAATACCTAGAGGGGTGTGTATATACATGCTTGTACATGTATGTGTCGTGTGACCTAAGTGCAAGTAGAAGTAACAAGACATACCTGAAATCTTGCATGTTTATGAGACAGACAAAAGACACCAGCAATCCTACCATCATGTAAAACAATTACAGGTTTTCATTGTACACTCACTTGGCAGGACGGTAGTACCTCCCTACTACCTAGGTTCCACGCATACATTCGATACATTTTGTATTATTCCATTGTTTTTAGTGCTTGTAACTTAAATAAGCCACCATGGGGCCTAGGGTAAAAAGGGTGAGGTGTACAATCGAATTGAAGAAAGAGATAACTGCAAAGTATGAAAGTGGAGTGCGTGGCTCTTAGCTGGCCCGGTTGTACAACAAACCCCAAATCAACCATTGCTACTATCTTGGCCAACAGAAAGGCAATCAAGGAAGCTGTTGTTGCAAAAGGTGCAAGTATGCTTACAAAACAGAGATCACAAATACTCAAAGATGTGGAGATACTGTTATTGGTGTGGATCAATGACAAACAATTATCAAGAGACAGTGTTTCACAGTCAATCATATGTGAAAAGGCAAAGCAGTTGCATGATGATTTAATTAAAAAAAATGCCTGGAACTAGTGGTGATGTTAGCGAATTTAAGGACAGCAAACGTTGGTTTGAGAGATTTAAGAATTGTAGTGGCATACACAGTGTGATAAGGCATGGTGAGGCTGCCAGTTGTGACCAAAAAGCGGCTGAAAAATATGTGCAGGAATTCAAGGAGTACATAGAGGCTGAAAAATTTAAACCCCAACAAGTGTTTGTTACGAAACAGGCTTATTTTGGAAGAAAATGCCACAGGACCTACATTGTACAGGAGGAAAAAGCACTGCCAGGACACAAGCCTATGAAAGACAGGCTAAACTGGAGTTTTGAGACTTTGATCGCAGGTTCTATCCCCACCCATGGTATGGTTTTTTTTAAAGACAGGCTAACTGTTTTGTAGTAATGCTAGTGGGGATTGCAAAGTGAAGCCTCTACTCGTCTATCACTCAAACTCCCAGTGTGTTCAAGAAAAACAGTGTTGTCAAGGCTAATTTGTGTGTGATGTGGAGGGCAAACAGTAAGGCATGGATCACTGACATTTTCCATGATTGGTTCTATCATGTGCTTGGCCCCACTGAAAAATTACCTCCTGGAAAATAAATTGGACTGCAAGTGCCTCCTGGTATTAGACAATGATAATGCTCATCCTCCAGACTTGCCAGAGCGAATTTTTTGCCTCCTAATACCACTCCTCTCCTCCAGCCCATGGACCAGCAGGTCATCTCAAATTTCAAAAAAACTGTACACCAAAGCAGTGTCTCAAAAGTGCTTTGAAGTGACCTCCGACACTGAATTGATCCTAAGAGAGTTTTGGAAAAATCACTTTAGTATCCTCAGTTGCATAAACCTTATAGGTAAGGCTTGGGAGGGAGTGACTAACTGGACCTTGAACTCTGCTTGGAGGAAATTGTGGCCACAAAGCGTACAAGTGGGATTTTGAAAGGTTTGGGGCTAACCCTGAGGAGTCTATACCAGTTGTGGAATCTATTGTGCCAATTGGAAAGTCCATAGGGTTGGAGGTTAGCGAGGAGGATGTGGAAGATTTGGTGGAGGATGATGAAGAACTAACTACTGATGAGCTGCAAGAGCATCTGCAACAGCAAGAGACCACAACTGAGGAAATTGCTTCAGAGGAGGGGAGAGAGATGGAGGAAGTTGCCTTCTTCAACGATCAAGGACATTTGTACAATGTGGACAAAGATGCAAGTCTTTATGGAAAAACATCACCCTGACAGCTATTGCAAGTCTTGCTGGCGACTTTTACAATGACAATGTTGTGGCCCATTTTAGGAAAATCTTAAAGGAATGCCAGATACAGAGCTCTATGGACAGATTTTTGGTGCGACAGAGGTCCAGTGGCTGTCAAGTTGTTCCCAGTGGCATTAAAAAAAGGGAGGTAACCCCGGAAAAGGACTTGGTACCTAAAATCCTAATGGAAGGGGATTCCCCTTCCAAACAATAATATACCTCCATCTCCCGTCCTCCCATCTCATCGCTACATCTTCAATAAAGGTAAGTGTCATTTATTCTTCATGTAGTATTTATTCTTCATGTATCATTGTTTTCTGTGTAAGAAATTGTATATTTCATGTGAAAAATTTTTTTTTTAACACTTTTGGGTGTCTGGAACAGATTAATTGGATTTCCATTATTTCTTATGGGGCAAATTAATTCCGCTAACGATAAAATCGGTTAAGGACAAGCTCTCTGGAACGGATTAAAATTGTTAGCCGAGAGTCCACTGTAGATCTTTTTATGAAATATTTTACATTTCTAACTGATATGATTAGATATACTTCTGAACAATGCATACTACTGCTGCTATGTATGTAACTCGTATATACCTCATATCTAATAGAAAAAACAATGGAGTAACCAAAATTGAAGGAGTATGGAGTAAGTGAACATACCGAGATATGAGAATAGACAAGTTGGTAGATGCATCTATGAAAGACAAGGAGAACCATAGAATGGAAGAGGGGAGGGGGAAAAAGGGCATTTTAATATATCGGGTAAGAAAAGTTTATATATGGAAGAAAAAGGTAAATGTATGAGAGTATAGTGGTGCTAAGACATTTATAAGGGTGAGTGGCATTGGGATTAAATGTTGCAGCAAAGATGTGGTGGGTTCTTATATGGTACAGTAGCTAAACTAATGTGAATTTCTGTATTAAAATTTTTGGAGAATTGTTCAAATTTTTATTTTCCCTCACTTTTTATATAAAATATGCTGATGCATTGTATAAATTTTTTTACAGTGAGCTATTAACTAGATGTATACAAACCGTGCTTTATGTCAATTACCTAGCATAAGGTTATGCGAGCACAAAATCTCACTATGGGCAAATTCAGAGGATTTTTTTTTTTTGTGTATTTTTATTCTGGTTATAAAAAAAATTACAATGCATGCTCTTTAAGCAGAGGTCAACTGTACACATTTTCCACCTAAGCATTTAAGGTCATCCCCATGTTTATTTAACCCCATTTAGCTATTTAATTTCACAAAACCACAAACCTTCCAGTACATTACTGCCACTCTTAATCCATACACTGTCAGGACCCTTGAAATTAAGTGCTGACAATGTTGGGAATTTAAAAATTTAATTCCTCTGAAATGGTAGAGAATTTTTCTGAGATGATGACAAAAAATATGAAATCTGATGGAAAAATCTTATGGAATTATGCAGGCACAAGGTTGGCAGTCTAGGTGCAAATTATGCATTGGCAATTTTGCTTATTTTAATTCCTATTTTAAGCCAATTCCATTGCTAAATTCAAGCAAATTCTAAGCTATTTCATTAGTATGCCTGCCATTCTATCGACTGAACACAAGAAAGTGTACAATTAGCTATCGGAACTTCGACATGAAATGCACAAGTTTCTAATTTGGCCAGTTTTCCACATTTTAGAAAATCCCAATTTAAAAATAGCCCAAATTAAACACTGTAGACTTTGCAGCTACTAAAGTAACATTTCCTGTTCAGTGTGTCCATAGGCCTAGTGCATAAACTTTCCCTCCATTTTCAATTAATCGGATAAAATATATCTAGGGATGATTGGTTATGGTTTATGGTGTCCCAATAATTAAAGCAGACCTAGTAATAATGCAAGAGAGACTAGAGAAAAGGGGAAAAAGCTCTACTATCATTTAATATACCTATACCTTTGACGAGTTCAGTTTTTTTCCTACTCCCAGAGTTCGGCCTAGAGCCAAGGTCGTCTGGGGCTTACCTAGTCAGTCAGGCTATTCCTGGATTATCTGGCACCTGGTTAAGATACTTGTCCAGTTTCCTCTTCAAACTTCTATACTTATCCCAGCAGTGTTTGATATCTTTTGGTAAGATGCTGAATAGTTTGGGGCCATGGACATTAATTTCCCTTATTGTAACTACTGGTGCCCCTGCTTTTCACTGGGTTTATTTTTTACACTTTCCCGTATCTCCCACTCCACACTTATGGCAGTGTGCAGATTTGGGAAAAGTCCCTCATGTACGTACTTACTTTCCAGATATATATTATGCATCTCTCCTCCCCTCCAGCAAGTACATATTTAGGACTAAGACATTCCCAGTAGCGTTCCAAATGAGACAGCACAAGTGATTTGAATAACATCACTAGTAGAACTATTTCCCTTTTTTTTAAAGTTATTATCCACCACGTCACCTTCCTGGTTCTCGTAACACTGTCGCTTTCCTCTGGAAAGTCAAAAAATCTAGCATTTCTGCTACCTTGAGCCCTGGAATGAACCATTCTATCAAGGGATATCCAGAAAGCCAATAAAACCATAAAAAATATCCTAGAAATCACCTCAAAGTTGCTATTGTAGACCAAACAAGGTCAGAGATTTGTTTTTCCCATCATGCTCTGTGAGGCAGGATTTATTTTTTTATACTATGCACACTCATTGCACAGACCCACTCATGTCTAGGCTAAATTTTTCTGCTCACAGCACATTTTAGGACTGTTTAACCCTTTCAGGGATTCCGTTTCAGCTTAAATAGTTGAAGTGTTGTGCAGTTTCAGAGGATTTGGTGTTGTCGAGTCAGGACCAGTCAGCGCCTCCCCCCCTCTCCGCTGGGGGGGAGGGGGAGAGCATGTGTAGTAAACAGTGACCCTCTCATAACGCCTCACACCTGTGCGTCTCCCCCGCCTCACCCACCCAACTCCCAGCGCCACCCCATCTGTAGAGGGTACTTCTCCCCTAACCCACGATGTCAGCGATGGCACTGCAGGGAGTGCCGGGCTCACAGGAACTTCCACTACAGGGACAGCATCGTGGAGGTCGACCGCGAGGCAGCTGTCAGGTGTGCCACAGGCAGTGTGTACTCAGTTCCTCAAGCTTCAACATCCGTGCACACGAGGGCCTGGGATCTTCAATCAACTTGGCGTCCACCAGGACGCTGACATGTCCCTAGGGGAGCTCTGCATCGGGCTGCTAACGGAGTCACTGGCTTCTTGGACCTCTTGGGGAGGGTCGATGGTGCTCGTGCAAGCAGCAGATCCCAGGGCAACTTGCTGCTGTTTGCAATGGCTGTCTGCCGAGGAGAGACAGGCACCTAGCAACATCTGTTGTTGGGGCATTGGATGAATTCCCTACTATGTTAACTGCTCATTACTCTGTAATTTGTCTATGATTGTAATCATGTGATAACGTGTTTATCATTCATTACCTTTGAAACCTGTCATGATTTTGACCAGCTCTACCTGGAGCTCATTACCTTTGTAAATTCTCATGATTAATGTGTTTATGATTCATTACCTTTGCAATTATTCATGAGTGTGACCAGCTCTACCTGGAGCTCATTACCTTTGTAACTTGGTCATGATTATGACCAGATCTAGTTCATTACCATTGTAACTTGCTCAGCTATCAAAACTTTGGAGTCCAGTCCCTGGACCAATTATGTACCTCTAATCTTTTGACTACCGCCCACAGGATGGGTATGGGGTGCAAAATAAACATATTAAACTAACTAAACTAATGCACAGAGGAAATGCTATTTTAATTTCCAGGAATGTTTGTCTTGTTTATTCTGGACCCTATTTGGAAATTGGCATCTTTTGAAATTGTGAAATTGCCAAAATTGCTCATTTCTGATCACTTTATTGGATAGTTGAAATCAGTAAATGGTGGTTTCTTGTACTCATTCTATAGAAATAATGGAGTTCTAGCAAAATAGTTATGATTTTTGTCTACTAGTACACTGGAATTGGCCGAAAATAGGGCTCAAAGTGGGTGAAATCGCCGATGCGTTAACATCGTCGAGACCACTAAATTCATGTGATCATAATTTCTCACATTTTCCATAAAATTTCATACTTTTAGTGTCATTATGATCCAGAAAGATTCTCTCTTTTCATAAAAAAAAAAAAAAATTCCGAAAAATTTTCGACCCTGAAAACAAGTTTAGGAGAGGGCCTCTCGACCCTCAAAGGGTCGAGTGACATTGGCATCAATAACTTTGATCTATGCAAGAGTACTTTTTTTTCTCAATTTCATTGCCACAAAACTGTTTTCTTTGAATGTTTTCAATGATTGCTAGCATTTACTTTTGAAAACTGAAAGAATAACATTATTACAAGGCTCTAAATTCTGATATAATTATGGTATCAATATTTTGCCATAATTTACCTTACTACTAGTGAACAGGTGAAAAATATTTCTGTTGTAACTTAAAATGGCTGTTACTATGGTAGAATTAGTTCTAAGAAAAAGATTAAATGTATTAATAATCTAATAATATAATAATAATATCTTTATTCACTACAAGTACATGTACATGGTATACAGGCCTAGCCAACAACAATGACATACTACTATAGAAAGCCCCTTGTTATGCTCCACATGTCGGGCAAATTAGGTCAGTGTCCCAGGATGCGACCCACACCAGTCGACTAACACCCAGGTACCCATTTTACTGATGGGGAACATAGACAACAGGTGGAAAGAAACACGCCCAATGTTTCTACTCTGGCTGGGAATCGAACCCAGGCCCTCGCCGTGTGAAGCGAGAGCCACCAAGATTGAAGCTTAGTAATGTTACAATATACGAACCATATACTAAAAATATAAAACCATTTAAAAATTTTAGGATAAATAAAATGAAGAAATGGAATCATAAGCCTTCAGAAAGCTAAACAAAATATCAAAAACCTAAACATTTTCATTAGTTTGCTTTCTTAGTTGCAATGAGAGATGTAATAAAGTTAATCAATAACAGTGCAAAGAAAGAGCTTTTATTACACTAAATTTTCTGCAGAACTTACTTTATAGCCCATGGGCCAGTGGATGAGGTACAAGTCCAAGTAATCAAGTCCCAAGTTGGTCAAAGACTCCTTCAAAGAAGGGATCACTAACTTCTTGCTATGGAAGGTGTTCCACAACTGCAAAATAAACATAGAACAAATTAAAATCTCGAGTTCAATTTGTATATCAGTGACATCATAAAAAAAAAAAAAAAAAAAAAAAAGTTTCATGGAGAAAAAAAAAAAATGAATGTTAAGAAATTTATTATTGTAATAAAAGAACAATGTGCCTCTTCCTGAAGGAAAACACACAGCATACATTAAAGTAATATACATTTTAGCTAAAGTCATTTGCCATGCCCTTAATGTCTCTTAAGGAATCAGATCTCTGGATCCCACCCCAGCTTGCTTTCTGAATCCTGTCATGCTACTTTTTGGAGTAAAGGATGGCCTGTTCCTGTGAAAAATGTGGCTGCTGCTTTGTAACTTGTTTTTTTTTTTTTTTTATTATTTTTTTTACCTATTCAACTCCAGCCAGTGGAAACCTTTTTATTTTATTTTTATTTATTTTGTCTTTGCAAACAGTACATTGAGATTTTGTCTTTACAATAGTGGGTTGCAATGCAAAGAGAGCCTCTATTATGCCTAGGCATTATGGGCCAACTTAACATTATTGGCTTACAGTCTACTTAACACTAAGGAGTATATCATAGTTGTACAGTAGGATAGTAATTATTTCATAGTTGTACAGCAGAATATTAATTGTAAATGAATCAAAATTTGTATAATACAAAGATATATTTATATTCGAAAATGCTTTTTGTGAAAAACAATGATTCAATTATATTCCTGTCAACAATGGATAAAAGGTTCAAAGTGATAGTTTCAGTTATGATGTGGGAGTACATAGGTGAGTAAGTGTGTACTAAGTATTTGGCATTTAGTCTAGGGTGATTAAGTGGCTTTTGAGAAGAGTCTTAAATTGATTTTCAGACTGGGTTACTTTAATATCTTCTGGTAATGAATTCCATATTTTGGGGCCCTTTATGTGCATAGAGTTTTTACACAGTGTGATATGGACACAAGGTATCAAAAAGAGATCTTTGTCTTGTGTTGTGGTCATGTGTCCTGTTTAGGTTGGTGAGAAGTTTGAGTGGAGGGTTTATATTTGCATGTATTGTTCTGTGTATGTAGTAGGCACATGAATAAGTATGGATGTTCTTAATGGTGAGCAGATTCAGACTCATGAAAATTGGTGGAGTATGCTGGCAGGAGTGGGAATTTGTTATCATTTTTATTGCTGCCTTTTGCTGGGTTATTAGGGGTTTTAGGTGAATGGATGTTGTTGATCCCCATGCACAAATTCCATATGTAAGATAAGGGTATATGAGTGAATGGTACAGTGCCAGGAGAGCTGATTGTGGAATGTAGTACCTTATCTTTGATAGTATAACTACAGTTTGGAGATTTTCTTGGTGATTTGTTGTATGTGTATCCAGAACTTAAGGCTACTGTCAAGGTGGATACCTAGGAATTTTCCCTCTGAGTCTTGTGGCTGATGATGCATTTAGCATTATGTTAATTGGATCATTTGCAGCTCTGTTTCCAAACTGAATGAAATAGGTTTTATCAGTGTTCAGGGTAAGTTTGTTAGTCATCATCCAGGCAGATATTTTCTGTAATTCAGCATTGACTGTTTGCTAGTATGACTGTTTGGGTGGGAAAAGACACATGTAGTGTCATCTGCAAATATGGGTTTGAGTAGCTGTGATGCATTCGGTAGATCATTGATGTAGATGATAAAGAGGAGTGGTCCAAGGACGCTTCCTTGTGGGACTCCTACTGTGATTGGTTGGGTGGAAGAGTTTGCATCATTTGCATACACATATTGAGTTCTGTTACTAAGGTATGATTTTAGGTAGTTGAGGGAGTGGCCTCTGATACCATAATGCATTAATTTGGAGTACAGCAGTTCATGGTCGACTCTATCGAAAGCTTTACGTAAACCAATGAAAATGCCCAGCGGGACTTTTCTTTTCGAGTGCAGTATATATTAGTTCTAGTATGTGTACGATTGCATCATTTGTGCTTTTATTATTCCTGAATCCAAATTGACAAGGGTTTAATATGTTGTGTGAAACGAGGTAGGAATAGATCCGTCTATGAATTAATTTTTCGAAGATTTTAGAGAGCAGTGGTAAGGTAGATATTGGTCTATAGTTATTCAAGTCAGCTTGGTCACCTCCTTTATGGATCGGAGTGACCCTCGCTAGTTTGAGGATTGTTGGGAAGGTAGATGATTCAATGGATTTGTTAAAGAGTGTTGCAATAATTGTGACAATTATTGAGAAGCTTTTTTGTACATAAAAGCAGGCAAGTTGTTTATGTCTCCCGCCTTGTTTTTAAGGGTGTTTATGATGAGCGTAACTTCAATGGGGTTGGTTGGAGCTAGGAATAGCGTATTTGGGTAGGTATCTATGAGGCAGTCTGATGGACGGGTGTTTGTGCTTGGTATTTTGTTTGCTAGATTTTTTCCTATGGTGGAGAAGAAAACATTAAGTCTGTTTGCTGTTTCGGTTGGAGTGAGTAGGGGTTCATCTGATTTTGTTAGTTTGATTGTTTTGTTTTTGGATAACTTTTTAGTTCCAAGAATTTCAGATAGAGTTTTCCAGATTTTTTTCATATCACCTTTGATGTTATGTAATCTATTTTCATAATACAATTTTTTTGACCTTCTTATCAGACTGGCAAGTGCTGACGAGTACCTTTTCAACTGTTTTCTAGTTATTTTACCCATTCTATACTGGATTGGATATACTGGATATGGTAGCCATTAAGTGTACTTTGTACATCACGAAGACAACACACACACAAAAAAAAGTATAATTTATTAGAAAATACTGTACTGTCTACATTTAAGCCTAAGGGCAATATGTGTGTGTTTAATAAACACAAACTCACATACCTTACTAGTAATGAAGAGATCTTCACGCTTTACAGTTCCATCATCAATTTTGGCCTTAATAGCAGCACCAACTTCTGGCTCATTACCATAAACGAGTGCACAGTCAAAATGGCGATACCCACAATTAATGGCATCCTTGACAGCTTGTGTTACTTCTCCAGGCTTTGACTTATGAAATAAAAAGAAGAATTTTATCAAATTTTGGGCAGTAATGTAGTACAGTGCATGTATAGATAAAATAATGCAAGGCAAATAGTATAATTTCTGTTATGGTATCCAAGATGCTTGAAAAACTGCAAAATAATCTTTAAAAGATACTGCTCCAAATAAGATGAAAACTATCACCTTAGACTCAACTTCGTGCTTGTTTGCAGGAAATCTGATTACAGGGAAGATTTGCCCTGAACTTTCTTATCCCCTTCCCGTAAGGAAAACGGTGAAAGCTATGCAAATTTTTGATGTGCCACCTTTGTTTTACACTAAAACAAACCTCTGAGCTTTACCTTGTTAAAAGTTTACAAAGAATACCACTTTAATTACTACTAAGAATTGGGATAATTATACTAAATCTATTTTACTAAGGAAGACATTAGATATCTCCTGCCACCAAAAATCTTTCAAATATAAAATATAATTAATCTAGGAGGAAAACACCAGACACTTTAAGAGCAGGTATGATTGGGCTCAGGAGACCAGAAGTTGACCAAACCAGAAAAAAAAAAAAATTAAAAATACTGATCCAGAGTTTTGATTCAACCCCCTGCATATACATCTATATCAATGTAATCTAGATTCAAGCTTAAATGGATAAATATTGCCATAATGAACCTATCTAAAAAGTAACATCAGCAAAATTGATTGGGATATTTATCAATGTTTGCATCTCTTAAGACAATGCCAGGGTAAAGTTACTTTGTATGAAGCACAATGCTACCAAGGCACACATGAATGACATGCTCTGCATTAGCCAAAAACTGAAAAGCCAACTGTAGGGAAACATGTAGGACAGGATCAATCTTAGCTAGAAAAAGTGTGGCAGATAAAATTCAAATGGCTGAAATTAAACCACAGCTACAAAACTACTGAACTAAAACTGTCAAAGCTAATATTGGTATCAAACACTTCCAGCTGGCATATGTAATGTTCTGTACTTGTACTGCACAATGTGAATTGTGCAAGAGCCAATATAATTTATTTTTATGTGCTGGCTGTACATTAGCTAGAATATACAGTATACATGTACATGCATCTCGATGAGATAAGCATCGAAGGGTAGTAAATGGATTTTAAACCATACATAAAGGTGTAAGTTATCCTGGGTTATATCATAAAATCCACCTTTATATAGTATAATAACATTAATAAATACTACATTCAATACTGTACTATATTTTTTTAATTATACACCATATACATATTGCTTGTGTATCTGTAATCTCTACACAACAAAAATATGGTGTACAGCTCAAAATTCTGAAAGGGTTAGTTATAAAACACTTGGAAGTTACTAGGGAAAAGCAAACACTTCTTTAATACCCACAAAATGCAAACCACATCACCATCACATCACAGCCAGGGATAGAACCTGCGATCAGAGCCTCAATACTCCAGACCGTCGCAGTATGGTTTGTTTGCAATCATGTCATTACGATTTCATGAGTCGTAAAATGCAGCCTGGTGTTTAAAACATTTTATATGCTCCAGTTGTGAAAAGATTGTAATGGGTTACATGCTAGTGGAAGGGCAGGAAAAGATTTTTGCAGTTTTGACATAATTCTGTAGTATTAGTCTACAAAGTAAAAAATGACCTGAATATATTTTGTATTAATATACAATAGAAATTATGTCTCGAAACCTGTACAGGTTCTATACCACTTAGAAGGGGGTTGTCAAATTTAAAATTTGTGTGCTATACAATACAGTAAATGATAAAGTACTAGAGTATGTATGTAATAATTCCATTATGAAACCTGTAAACTTTGGCATTAAAATGAGTGGTTTCACGGGGAAGCGTTAAACTGGTAAGATAAGGGTCACACAACCCAAACCTATTACTTGTCAACCGGTAGCCTAATTGGTAGTGGCCTCAATCATATACTGAGAAACCAGGGTTTTGATCTCTATAAAAAAGGAAACACTGGGCAAGTGTCCTTACACCTGTTGCCCCGTTCATCAAACAGTAAGGTACCCAAGCATTAGCCAACTAGTGCAGATTGCATCCTGAGAGAATATTAAAGAAACCAGATGGAAATAAGCCAGTATGAAAACACTATTGTGTTATCCTGGGTTACTAACCCTTCAGGTTAATGGCCCAAAATCTCGATTATAAATGAGCGATACCGACAAGCTGTAGATACAAGTGTACTTGTGTCCAGTTTGGGAAGTTTATTAAAGGAAACTTGTTAACACAAGCAGCTTAATGAATCCTAATGGAAAGGATAAGACTGATGAAGTCACTTATGCTGCTATGTATGATAATCAATGTAACTGTGTTTATACGTGAATAAACTTAAAATGTCCTGAACTGTACACAAGTGTCCTTACCCACAGATAAAATCTACTTCCAAGCTTCATTCTGAAAAAGTCTACACAGTACCTTTACACTATCATAAACTGGTACTAGTGGTTTTCTTTAAGGTATTGCAGTACACATGAATGCTCACAGTACAGAGGTGCCCCCAAGGAACCACTGTACAAATTTATACTGTATTTGCAAAACTACAAATTTTCTAGGTTCTCTACACATATGTTATGTCTGATAATCTATGTAACTACTTGTATATACCTGAATAAACTAACTTACCACTGACCAAGGAAGGAGACACTAAACCAATAGGCCATACAGCACTTGAGGAATGGGAGGTCATCAGGTTTGAGTCAAGGAAGGGAACCATAGATAAATTCCCTGGATCAAGATGCAGATCCAATAAATTTAACTTCTCATACCTATTTACAGAAACACACAAAAGGTATGTAATATGGGTGTAACCTTGTAAAACCTAGTCATCGTGGCTTGGATAAACAGCACACATGCCAGCAAGATAAGAACCTAAGACACCATGTAAAATATTAACTAGTTAAATCAGCAGCATTACTGTATTACATATTAAATATGGTGCAATCATTGGCAGGACACGAAATATTAGTAAACTACAAGTATGCAAAGATTGTAATTAGATTATAAAGGTAACTGCAAAGTACTTAACCACACCAGTCTACTAACACCCAGGTACCTACTTACTGTTAGGTGAAGATGGACAGGTGTAAGGAAACATGGCAAATACTATTTCCATTCGTGCCGAGTATCGATATCCGGTGACTCAGTATGTAAGCCGTGGACTCAAACTACATAAGCAACCCCAGTCCAGTATTGATACCTTTCATATATTACAAGTATGATATTTTTACGCAAATTATGTTAAAACTAAGACATATCACAAATTATTACGACGGGTTACATGCACATCTTAATGTAGATGTACAAGACATTCTACAATATACCTTCCAAGTGCCAAGGCCAAAAATGGGTATCTTCTTGCCGTTGTTAAGTGTAACTGACGGAACTTGAACTGCCATTGTAGAATAGCGGAGAATGCCGGAGAAATGTGACAATAGAGCTGCAAGACGTGTGACCATACCCTGGGTGGTGGTGGTGGCAGCTGACTGACACAAAGTTACTACAGTGCCGGTCCTGGCATCCTCCCTCTCATGGCGCCACTCTTCTTCATCCACTTGACATTAACTTTCCATCTTAATAAACCTGCCTTAACCGAAAAAAATGTCTGCCGTAGCATTGTATTAAAGCAAAATCGCATTTCTTGATAAATATATTGTCTCGTACATTTACAACATTTTTTTGTCTATCATGGATTAAATAATACGACTGGCAACCAGATTGTGGTTGCCTAAATTAATGTTAACGGCTGAAGTTTATCGCTAGCCTAAGTGGAATAATATAATTAATTATTTAACCCCTGGCTGAGAATAATAACCACAGGATTAAAAGAGTGATAATATTAATCTACTGTTATAAGCAATGACTTTAGGGAAGCAGTTTTTAAGACTATTATTATTATTATTATTATTATTATTATTATTATTATTATTATTATTATCAAGGGAAAGCGCTAAACCCGGAGGATTATACAGCGCCTGGGGGGGGATGTGGAAGGCATTCAGGCTTAATTCGGGGAACTGAAGCACAGATCCAATTCCCTAAATCAAGAGCCCCTCACCAACATCAAGAAACCTTGTTTTTAAGACTAAGTTTATTTAGGTACAGATGCACATAAGTACAGTTATCATACATAGTTTAACATATGTGTAAATTACCAAGGATAACCCTGGTGGCTAAAGCTCCCGCTTCACACACGGAGGGCCCGGGTTCGATTCCCGGCGGGTGGAAACATTTCGACATGTTTCCTTACACCTGTTGTCCTGTTCACCTAGCAGCAAATAGGTACCTGGGTGTTAGTCGACTGGTGTGGGTCGCATCCTGGGGGACAAGATTAAGGACCCCAATGGAAATAAGTTAGACAGTCCTCGATGACGCACTGACTTTCTTGGGTTATCCTGGGTGGCTAACCCTCCGGGGTTAAAAATCCGAACGAAATCTTATCTTATCTTATCTCCACCAGAAAAAAACTGAAAAATTATGAATATAAATAACAATTTAAAATCATAAACAGGAGAGCAAGATGTTGACATATTCAAATTTAAATTCGAAACGAATTTTGCCGGCATTCTGATGTTGATCTACACCTCAAGGGACGTTGTTGAGGAGCTCTTGATCTAGGGAATTGGATCTGTGCTCCATCCCCCCCACATGCGCTGTATCATCCTACGGGTTTAGCCCTCCCCTATTATTATCTGTTCATCTCACCCTTCACGCAGGATAGTTTACCTGTCATTTACAATCACGCAGGATAGTTTACCTGTCATTTACAATCACGCAGGATAGTTTACCTGTCATTTACAATCACGCAGGATAGTTTACCTGTCATTTACAATCACGCAGGATAGTTTACCTGTCATTTACAATCACGCAGGATAGTTTACCTGTCATTTACAATCACGCAGGATATGATTATTATAATCATGGGGAGCGCTAAACCCGTAGGATTATACAGCGCATGGGGAAGATGGAAGGTATTCAGGCTTAATTCAGGGAATCGGAGCACAAATCCAATTCCCTAGATCAAGAGCCCCTCACCCGCGTCAAGGAACCTCCCTTGAGGGGATCACGCAGGATAGTTTACCTGTCATTTACACAACCTCCTCAACACGACCACTTTATACTGGAGTGCCACAGGGAAGTGTCCTTGGTCCCCTGATCTTCCTCTTATGCATCAATGATTTTCCATTTGTATCACAACACCTGAAACCAATTCTCTTTGCTGACGACACGACTTCTGTCATCTCCCACCCAAACCTTGCCACACTCAACACCATTGTTAACGAGGACCTCCTAAAAATATCTACAGGGATGACAGCCAATAAACTTACACTCAACACTAATAAAACCTTCTATATTATGTTTGGTAACAGAGCAGGTGAGGGCAAATTCCTGGGCCTACACCTCGACAGCAACCTGAATTTCTGCACCCACATCCAACACATAACAAAAAAAGTATCCAAAACTGTTGTGATCCTCTCTAAGATACGTTACTACGTACCACATTCAGCCCTACTCATCTATCGCTACCTCACATATGTCATTTGTGCCTGGTGATCAACAGTAATTACCCACCTAAAGCCAATAATAACCCAACAAAAAGCCGCAATAAGAATTATCATGCAATCCAGTGCCAGTCAACACACCCCCACTCTTCATAGATCTAAACTTGCTCACTGTTCAGAACATCCACACTTACTACTCTGCAATCTACATCTACAGAACCATAAATTCCAATATTAACCCTGAAACAAAACGTTTTCTTGATAGTTGTGACAAGACCCTTAGCCATACCAGACACAAACATCTCTATGACATTCCCCGTGTCCGGCTAAATCTATACAAAAATTCAATGTACATAAAATGGCCTAAAATCTGGAAGTCCCGCCTGAAAACTCTAGAACTGTAGACACAACCACCATTTTCAAAAGCACTGTTAAAAACCATCTTATCTCCCTTACACACCTCACCAGGACCTAACACACACCACCGGTAGCTAGCACACCACCGGTACCTAGCACACACCACCGGGACCTAACACACACTACCGGTAGCTAACACACCCTGCCGGTACCTAACACACACCACCGGTAGCTGACACACCCCGCCGGTACCTAACACACACCACCGGTACCTACCACACACCACCGGTAGCTACCACACACCACCGGTAGCTAACACACCCTACCGGTAGCTAACACACCCCGCCGATACCTAACACACACCACCGGTAGCTGACACACCCCGCCGGTACCTAGCACACACCACCGGTAGCTAACACCCCGCCAGTAGCTAACACACCACCGGTAGCTAACACACCCCACCGGTAGCTAACATACCCCACCGGTAGCTAACACACCTCACCGGTAGCTAGCACACCCCACCGGTAGCTAACACACCTCACTAGAACAGAGTATACTACAGACTCTGGTCATACAATAGAGCGGAAAAATAATGTAAGGGACCTGGGAGTAGTAATGTCTGAGGATCTCACTTTCAAGGATCACAACAGTGCCACGATCGCACGTGCAAAGAAAATGATAGGATGGATAATGAGAACGTTCAAAACGAGAGATGCCAAGCCAACGATGATCCTTTTCAAATCACTTGTTCTCTCTAGGCTGGAATACTGCTGTACATTAACATCTCCATTCAAAGCAGGTGAAATCGCAGATCTAGAGAGTGTACGGAGATCCTTTACTGCACATATAAGTTCTGTCAAGCACCTTAAATACTGGGAAAGCTTGGAAGCACTTGACTTGTACTCGTTGGAACGCAGGAGGGAGAGATATATCATAATCTACACTTGGAAAATCCTGGAAGGAATGGTCCCGAATCTGCACACAGAAATCACTCCCTACGAAAGTAAAAGACTGGGGAGGCGATGCAAAATGCCCCCAATTAAAAGTAGGGGCGCCATTGGTACACTAAGGGAAAACACCATAAGTGTCCGGGGCCCAAGACTGTTCAACAGCCTCCCATCAAGCATTAGGGGAATTGCCAATAAACCCCTGGCTGCCTTCAAGAGAGAGCTGGACAGATACCTAAAGTCAGTGCCGGATCAGCCGGGCTGTGGCTCGTACGTTGGACTGCGTGCGGCCAGCAGTAACAGCCTAGTTGATCAGGCCCTGATCCATCGGGAGGCCTGGTCGTGGACCGGGCCGCGGGGGCGTTGATCCCCGGAATAACCTCCAGGTAACCAGGTAACCGGTAGCCAGCACACCCCACCGGTAGCTAACACACCCCACCGGAAGCTAACACACCCCACCGGTAGCTAGCACACCCCACCGGTAGCTAACACACCCCACCGGTAGCTAATACACCCCACCGGTACCTAACACACCCCACCGGTAGCTGACACACCCCACCGGTAGCTAACACACACCACCGGTACCTAACACACACCACCGGTAGCTAACACGCTCCACAGATAGCTAACATACCCCACCGGTAGCTAACACACACCACCGGTACCTAACACACACCACCGGTAGCTAACACACCCCACCGGTAGCTAACACACCCCACCGGTAGCTAACACACCCCACCGGTACCTAGTACGCACCACCGGTAGCTAACACACACCACCGGTAGCTAACACACCCCACCGGTACCTAGCACACACCACCGGTAGCTAACACACACCACCGGTAGCTAACACACCCCACCGGTAGCTAACACACCCCACCGGTAGCTAACACACCCCACCGGTACCTAGCACACACCACCGGTACCTAACACACACCACCGGTAGCTAACACACCCCACCGGTACCTAAAACACACCACCGGTAGCTAACACACCCCACCGGTACCTAGCACACACCACCGGTAGCTAACACACCCCACCGGTAGCTAACACCCACCGTACTACACACCCACCGGTACCTACACACACCACCGTACTACACGCCCGTAGCTAACACACCCCACCGGTAGCTAAACACCCCACCGGTACCTAACACCCCACCGGTAGCTAACACACCCCACCGGTAGCTAACACACACCACCGGTACCTAACACACACCACCGGTAGCTAACACACACCACCGGTAGCTAACACACCCCACCGGTAGCTAACACACCCCACCGGTACCTAAAACACACCACCGGTACATAACCACATACAACACACCACCTACTAGCACAACCACCGAGCTAACAATACACCGTACTAACTACCTCCCACCGTACTAACACGACCCACGTAGCTAACACAACACCACCGTCTAGACAACACGTACTAACACAATTCTAACGGTAGCTACATCACCCACCGTTGCCTACAGACAATCCACCGTATAACAAACCTGTATCTATCACACACACGAGACATTTCCATCTACACGTAGACTAACACACCATCGTAAGTTCTCACATACTAAACCGTACTAACCCCCGACCGGTACTATAACACCCCGTCATAATCCAAAACCACCTCCTTAGCCATACAGAACACTAGTTAAGTTCTTATATATTTTAAACTATCTCAATTTTGTAAATCTAGTTAATCACTACAATTATCCAATCTTATTACCAGTATGATCCATATCCTGTGTCAATATAGAGTAAGAAATAGTATTAGTCTGC